CTTGTCAATCCATTTTGATGAAGGTCTTCCCCTTTTTTGCTGACCCTCTACTTTACCAAGCATGATATCCTTTTTCAGGGAATGGTCCCTTCTGACAACATGACCAAAGTAGCAAAGTAGGTGAGATGAAGTCTGGCCATTCTTGCTTCCAAGGAGCATTCTGGCTGCACTTTTTCAGGACATATTTGTTCATCTTCTGGCAGTGCATGATATTTTCAGTATTCTTCTCCAACACGACAATTCAAAGGCATCAACTCTTCTTCAGTCTTTCTTATTCATTATCCAGCTTCCACATACCTATGAGGTGCACGTGAAAGCACATGGCTTGCATTAAGTGCACCTTAGTTTTCAAAGTGACATCTATTTCTTAACACCCTAAAGAGGTCTCATTGCAGCAGGTTTTCCCAGTGCAATACAATGTCTGATTTCTTGCTGCTGTTGCTATGGATGCTAATTGTGGATCTAGTAAAATGAAATCCTTGACAACTTCAATCTCTTCTTCATTTATCATGATGTTACTTATTGGTCCAATTGTGAGGATTTTTGTTTTCTTTATGTTGAGGTATAATCCATACAGAAGACTGTAGTCTTTGATCTTCATCAGTAAGTGCTTCGAGTCATCTCTTTTTGTTTTAGATATTCCATATAGGAAGCCTGCCAGGACAAGCTGGCTTTCTCAGGTAAAACCTACCAAACTTGTCACTCACAGAGCATACAGTTGGGTGAGAAATGTTAGCCGAACAATCTCAAATTGGTGTAGTGGAGCAGGTAGAGGTATTAGGTCAGCAATGTGGCCTTGAGCTGATACTATGGCCCGGATCAGTTTAACCAGACTTTCTTTGGGGACTTATAAAGAGCTTCTCCAACTACAAATAAAGTGTGGTAGTTAAGGTTATATGTCAACTTGGCTGGGCCTGGTTTTGAGTGGTTGGGCAGCTGGATGCAGTTTTTCCCCATGGTAAGACTGGTAATTAACTCCATGGTGGAATCTACTGGATCAGCTGAGTAGTCGCTTTAGGAATGTAGTCTGCTTCCAGTATATAAGAAGCAACTTTGACGAAGGTCTCCAGCTTTTTGGCACATTTGAACCCTGCATGTAACAAGGTCACTGTTCAGCAGCCTGCCACACCCAGTTGATCTTGGGACTTGAATTAGCTGCCTGCGTGTTGTCTGAGCCTGTTTACTTGGGGACGTTGGGTTTATCAATCTCAGCAGCAAGCAGCTGCCTGAGTGAAGAAAAACCTCCAGCTTCAGTGGGCTGTAAGCAGGAGGCAGAGCTGAAGCCCAAGGTTGAGGGGTTTCACCCATCCCCTAGAGCCTGGCACCTTGAACTCAGACTTTTAGCCTCCCCAAACTGTAGGAGAATAAACTTCTGTTAGTTTGAACCATTCCATTTGTGGTATATTCCTGTCGGAGTGGCAGTAAGTAACCAAAACATAAAGCAATGCTTCATTTTCCATTTGGTGTTATTCACCATGTAAACATTAGGTTTTGAGACTCCTCATATCCTAAAATATATCACAAATTCATCAATAAATACTATTTACAATCTCTTCTCTTTTTTTTTTTTTTTGTATTCAAATAGGGTTCAAACTCTTATCATCAACCACAAGATCACAACAAATTGGAAATAAGTAAGATTCATTCAGGAAACAAAAATGTGTCAGGGTGGGCTTGGGTATCCAACTTTAAAATGAACAAAAACACAAACTATAGATGTCCTGAGATCTGACTAAGTAATTGCAATACAACGTAACAAATGTTGAAAATCCCTGTGTGGTGCAAGCAGTTAACCTACTGGGTTGCTCTCCAAAAGGTTGAGGTTCAAGTCCACCAAGAGGCATTTTGAAAGAAAGTTCTGGTGCTCTACTTAAGAAAAATCAGCAACTGAAAACCTTGTGGAGTACAACTCTATTTGAACACAGGGTCACATACGTCAGAATTGACTCGATGGCAACTGATTAAAATAATACTAATAGAATGGTTACCCAAAAGTGGATGTGCTTAGTTGTGTAATGTAGGTAATTATTCACCAAGAAAGATTTATTAGGGATCAGTAGATGTTTGTAACAATAGTAACAATCAAAAAGGGCATTCCAGAAACTGGGAATTTGGAGAACCATCGTGAGTTTTGGAAAGGGGAAACAGTTTGTTATGACTGAATACACTCATTTAGGGAAAAAGTGAGAACAGAGGGGTAAGCAATGGCAGATGTAAGAGGTCTTAAACATCATTCAAAAGAATATAGGCTTTAAACAATGATATCGGTGGAAGAGTTGATGAAAACAAGACACGAGTTAAGATTTTCCCAAATTAGGTGACTAGTAGCGTGCCTCTGACAATATTACATAACAATTTCTATAACATTAGTTTCCTCTGGCTATTGTATCAAAAGTGGCATAGTGCCTAAGCCATTTGACTACTAACCAGAAAGCTGGAGATTCAAACTCACCAGCCACTCCTCAGAAGGAAGGTTGGGCAATCTACTTCCATAGTGATACTGCCTCAAAAACCCAAAGAGGGGTTGCTATGAGTCGGATCTGACTCCACCGTTGTGAGTTTGGCTTGTTTTATAGATGGCTTAAAACAACACAAATTTATTATTCTATAGTTCTGGAACCAGAAGTCCAAAATGTTTTTCACAGGGTTAAATAAAGATGTTGACTGTTTTAGTTACCTAGTGCCACTCTGACAAGAATATACCGTAAATTGGATGGCTTTAACAAACAGGAGTTTACTTTCTTACAGTTTGGAGGCTTTAAGTCTGAGTTCAAAGTCTTGGGCTCTAGGGGCTGGGTGAAAGCCCCTCAAACCTGGGGCTTCAGTTCTGCCTCCTGCTCTTGGCCCACTGAAGCTGGAGGCTTTTCTTCATTCGGACAGCTGTTGGCTGCTAAGGCTGACAAACCCAAGGTTGACAGGTAAAAAGGCACAATCCCAATATTACAAAACAACACAGCACGTCACTAATTCAAGTCCATTGAAAGTCCCAAGATTGGCAGAGCATGGCAGGCTGCTGAACTCCATCACATTCAGGGTTCAAGCATGCCATAAACTAGAGACCATTCTCAAAGTTGTTTCGTATATAAGGGAAGCAGACCACATCCCTGAAGCAGCTACTCAGCTGCTTGTGGCAGATCCCACCATGGAGCTGATTGCTAGTCTCATCATGGGGAATAACTACCGTAGCTGCCCAGCCACTCAGCCAGGCAAAGTTGACCCCCAGCCTTAACTACCACATTGACCATGCTGAATTTCTTCTGGAAGCTACAGAGAAAATTCTGTTTTCTTGCCTTTTTCAACTTTCAGAGGCCACCTACATTCCTTTGCTCATGGTCCTCTTCGTTCTTCAAAGGCAGAAATGGCTGATCAACTCTGAATGCATCACTCAGATACTCTCCCTTCACTGCTTCCCTCTTACATCTATAAGGGCCCTTACGATTACTCTGGAGTCACATGACAATCCAGGATAATCTCCCCATGTCAACTTTAGTTCCTTCTGAAAATTTCATTCTCTTTGCATAGTGGCTAAGACACTTGCCTGCTAACCAGACGGCTGGCAGTTCAAACCCACCAGCCACTCCTTGGAAGGAAGGTTGGGCAATCCTACTTCCGCAGTGATACTGCCTCGGAAACCCAAGGAGGGGTCGCTATGAGTCGGGGCCGACTCCACGGCACATAACAACAACAACATTGCCATATAATCTAACATACTCACAGGTCCTGGAGATTAAGGAGTAGGCATTTTAGGGGCTATTATTCTGTTTACTACATGGTTTCATATTCATTGATTGAACAGATTAAGTTTCCAGTATCCCACTCCTATAACATTGTGCTGTGATGACATCATTATAATGGGTCACCAAACCAAACCAAACCCATGACCACTGCGTTAATTCTGACTCATAGTGATCCTCACTGGGTTTTAAAAGCTATAAATCTTTACAGAAGTAGGTTGCCTCATCTTCCTCCCATGGAGCAGCTGGCGGGTTTGAACTGCTGACTTTCTGGTTAACAGCCAAACGTCATACCCATTATGCAACCAGAGCTCCTTTATTATACATCACAGGTTTACCATATAAAATATTAGGAGATATAATGAAAATATATTATTATTGATACTCTAAATATGTATAACATATTGGTGGGTATCTCATCTTTCTTGAGAAAACAGCTCAGCAAAGAAGATGCAGGATTGCTTCATTTAGATAACATTTTATTTGTTGGAGGAAGCCTTGATAAACTTCATTTTAACAGGTGGAGAAATTAATTTAAATCACAACAGTTAGTGTATTGGCACACTTTTACAAGTAGATGTAGCACAATTATCTATTTCTGAAATAAAACTATTGCTTAGATACTTTTTAATGTGATGATTTTAGGATAGGTGGAAAGTGTACATTTCAGCAGATATTCTTTAAAAGATAGTAGAAAACTGTCAGAAAAAGAGATCCACTGGGAAAAATTCTACAGTTGTCAGTGATTTCTTTGTTATAAATAATAGTTTTCTAAAGTGTACTTTTCTGAAAAGAAAAAAAAAAAACCCAGCAATTTACTTTATGAGTACTTTCATATTTACAATGATTGTTTAAAATAAGTACATTAAAAGGGAATATTGTAATGTAAACTACCATATTTCTCAAATTAAAAAATAAAGAATTCAAATATAATAGTCTAATGAGATAATTTTCACTTTACTGAAAGTTTGTAGGATAGACAGTTTCAGTCTATATACAATATTTTTTACATTTAGAAGCATGAATAATATTATATCTTGACATATTTTTGTTTCACCGATTAAACATTTGAAGTCACATTCTGTAAAATAAATATAGAACTAATATATACTTCATTGTTATGTTAACTTTAAGTCAGATTTTTTTTTTCATTTGTGTATGTTCCTTTCTTTTAGAATGTTAAAAAAGAAATAGCTACAGCAAATAGAGGTTTAAGTTGCTTTGCTTTAGTAGAAATTTAAGTTATTATCTCACAAAATGGCAGGATGTGCTTATTCAATTCTTTATTTTATCTCCACAATTTTTCATCTAGTTTAAAAAACAAAAAAAACTAGTTTACTCAAAATACATTTCATTGTTATAACAGCCATTCCCTTTACACTGTTTTATATTCTGTGCCTTCATTCTCTGTGTTTCACTTTCTGTAACAGAGCTCATTACCAAGGTGGTAGGGGACTAGTTTCAAAGGCAACATGAGTCGCAAAAATATCAAGCCAGTGGTTTCCTTCAGGACATTCATATATTTTTTGAGTTAGAAATAAAATCTTTCTTTGGGCGCAATAATATCACTCCTGAGAAACCAATTACTTCCCAAATATCTGCAATGCTATTTGTGACATAACTAACAATACCATGAAGGAAAGTATAGTGGAGCTACATGGTACATAATTTAAACTCTTCTTATCTACAAAGTTCCTACACTGTAAATGAAAAAGTGGCTTAAAATATTTTTTTATTTAGTAATTAATCATTTGACATTTGGTCAAGTCATTATTAATGTGATCATCAACAGCTTGAGTCTTCTTTTTTGTGTAACTATCATTATGCATAGTTCTCTGTGCTTATCTTAAACATCCAAAACAACAGGGGACATTTTTGAACAATCTATAGTATTCTTCTTGGATCTGAAAAAAAAAAAAAATATATCAAAGATAATCACAATAGTTACACGGAATTCTTTTATGTATGTAGAATGGTCACATATAGTCTTCTAAAGTATTATTTCTATTGTAATTGCCTTGTCGGAACATGCTCAAAATTGAATATAAATTGTATTAACATTATAGAAAAATTTGAAAGCACATTTCTTTATTAACAGCCAGGAGTTCTGTTTTTTTTTTTTTTTTTTACATTAAAATGTAACACATTTGGGTAATAAAGACACAAGTCTTAAACCCATGAGAATGGAAATTTTCTATCACTTTGGTAATGGATGCTACCTGAATGTACTATAAAGTGGGCCAAAATAAAAATTGCTTACCTTTCTTGATAGAACACACAGGAATAAGAAAATGAACATTCCTTGGAAGGCATTGCTCACTGTAAAGAGGTAGGCTGTCACCACTGATGCATGCACAACGTGGAGAACCCCAAAAATCCAGGTGGTGCCTAGAAGGAAGAGGAGAGCGAGGGCTCCTCTTGCACAAGACCTACAACATATTGGATAGGTTTCAGTCAACAGAATCACATAAGCTCAGCACACCCCCTTAATTTCTAAACTTACATGGGAAATGAGTTTCTGGTACAACCAAGAAATCTTTCACAAAGACCACAAACAATTTTGAAAATGACAACAAATTGTGCTGCAATTACACAGGCCGGACTTTAGTGCACACTACTGCATTATGGCAGGAGTGTGCTTCCCAACCAAGGCACCCTTATTAAAATGTTATTTTTAAAGGAACTTTCTTAATCTTGAAATATTTTTATCTGGTACACTGCAGTGTGTATGCTTTGATTTCAAATCTAATGTTGCAGTAGTTCCCAAAGGTAAAACATATATCAGTTAGGAAGTATTTTCCCTAAGAAACCTTAAAAAGTATACCATGTAGACTTGGATCAACACATGTGCATGACATCAAAGAACGCTTCTGCTTTCCTTTTATTTTTAGTACTGAAGAAAGTGCAGAATACACACACACACACACACACACACATATATATCTTTTTCAATTTAGTTCTTTCAAAATAATTCAAGTGAGAACACTGATTTCTTAAAAATTAAGATAAAATGCACTCACAAACTAACTCCTACATATTTTCAACTGATTGTGACTTTTAGCAAAACCATACTCAATCCTGCTCACTGAGGACATTGCCTTGAAAAGGAGAAACTAATGATTATTTCCCCACTCATTCTCAGTCCACTTATTCTTTATTGCAGGGGATGTTTTAGGAGGGTGCATCAGAAAGCGAGTCATTTGCAACTTTATTCAAACCAGCATACTACATGAACCTATGAATTGTGAAGAGTAAAAGAAAGTGATCAATCAAACGTTTGCTAAACCCTAACTGTAAATCTTGTGGAAAGCACTGAATCTACAGGAGTGTTCCCAAGCAACACAAGCAGGCAGTTGTTTCCAACATTCCCTATGGTACACTTTAGCTTTTCCTGAACAAACCATTTTCAAGGTCTCAATAAATCAGTTTTAAAGAGAAGCAGTTGGAGGAAAAATCATAGATGCATGTAAATTAGGAATTGCAAGAAACACTGTTGCTAAGTTATGGGAAACTTTTTGCAAAAGAAAATCAATAAGACCTACTTTTGTCTTTAAAAAAAATGTCATTGTCTTTTCTCTTTCAAGAGAGATTTCATTTGCAAAGAATATTTTATTTATCTTATCACCATTGGTGATAGTCTTATTAAATATATGAATGGGAATTCAACAACAAATATTTATTATTATTCAAATATTTAAAATATGGTGGAAGAAATTGTGAAACGATGAATAAAAAAACAGTACTTCCAAAAAATGTTTATACTTTAAGCTTGAGAACGAGCACTCTAAAATTAACTCTCTGAGACACTTAAGATGACCGCAGGATGGATGCCTCCAGGCCTATATTCAAACTCCATTTTGAAAAGCCTGTGCTACTATAAGAAGTTAAACTTTAGACAGAATTAATCTAGTATCTAAAGAAATGTTTTCTTTTTAATCAAGCTATGCAAGCCATTGCTAGAAACCACACTGAACAAGAAAGTTATATTATCAGAAAAGGATGTCCTATTATTACGTTGTGACTGAGTTGTAAACCCCTTATGGTTACTTGGTACTTGGCATCGAGTTGGGCCCAACTCAGCGATCCATCCTTGGGTTTCTGAGGCTGTATAACTATGGAAGTAGATTGCCCAACCTTCCTTCCGAGGAGTGGCTGATGGGTTTGAACTGCCAGTCTTCTGGTCACCAGTCAGGTGCCTTAGGCATTAAGATACCAGAGCTCCTTTATGGTTACTAAGAGGTAACTACTCGGTAAAGGCCACATATCATCAAGTAGTAACTAATTAACAAAGCACCCATGTCAGCAAAACAGTAACTAAACAAGACTCTTTAAAGCAATTGCTGTAAAGCCTTCACTTTTGTTGACCCTCCTTTGAAAATTACAAAACATTAATAAACTAATCAAAATATTATATTGTTAATTCTTGGTTTAACAATATAAATATTGCCTAGATACCTGTAACTCCTTGAGAGCACAGTTCACACAGTGGACTCTGTATATCCCCAGTTTAAACTGTGTCCCGCCTTCAATAAATCTCTCTCTTTTAATCTTTAAAAGCAGAATTTTATTAAAGCTTTTAATTGCTAATGAAAGCGGCCTTAAAAAGAAAGTTTACCTTATGTTCTCATAGCAGCTAACTTCTGGTTTCAACCCTGCAGTGTGACGAAAAACCTTGTATATGATAACTCCAAAAGCTAAAAGATTAACCTGTGAAAATATTAATTTCAAAGAAGAGATAATATTCATGGGAAATTAGGCACATAAAAAAGAAATAAGCAATTGGTAAAGATTTCAAATAAGGTTAAGAACCAGAAAATTATGGCATTTTAACATACATTACAAAGTACAAACATTTTAGCAGACTTAGGCAAGCAAATCTGTGACATATAACTGAAAATTATTTTTAGTACAATTTTCTTGATTATGTTAAACAACCAGCACAAAAAAACTCTCTAGATATTACAATCACACTTACAGATTGATGAGTGTCATCTGCTGCCGGTAATATAATTAATATGCACATTAAGATAATTTTTGATTTGAAAAGCTTTAGACCACTTGAGAAACAAGTTTTGGTTCACTAAGCTCTGGTAGCATAGTGGCTAAAGCACTTGATTGCTAACAAGAAGGCTGGCGGTTCAAACCCACCAGCCACTCCTCGGAAGGAAGGTTGGGCAATCCTACTTCTGTAGTGATACTGCCTCGGAAACCCAAGGAGGGGGTCGCTGTGAGTCAGGGCTGACTCAATAGCACATAACAACAACAACAACAACAACAGCAAATTATATAGTTTCTTTGATGAGAACTAATAATTCTATCAACTTTAAAAAATTTAGACTTATAATCGCAGTGGAAAGAAAACTAGAAAACTCAATAAACCCACAAGGTCTGTTGCTAGAAAATAATGCAGTTTCTTTGTATGTTTTTCTAGAATTCTCTCCAAATATTTAGTTGAGATTGTCTTTCCCTCGACTTAACCTTAGAACTGTTCTAAATATTAATCAATAAAATCAATATTTCTGGAAAGTGTATAGATTTTATCAATAAACTTTTACCATTCCATGGAGATACCACCTTGGAAAGCCAAGTAGGGGTTGCTATGAGTTGAATCGACTCAATGGCAGTGAGTTTGGTATTTTTTTTTAATGGGCTAAATATAATACAGAGAATTTTTAGCAATTTTAAAGTGACTGACTGTTTCATTATTTTTCTATTCTTTTTACATGTTTTTTTGGAAACTTTCAAAGTCATATTTGCAGTGTCATATGACTTTTTGAAGGGTCTATTTTAAATATTTGTCTATTCTAATATGAACATAATTAGAAGATTTATCTTGTATTGAATGTTGAATCAATTGAAACAAATGTTCAAAAGCCATCTCGTAATGACAACAGCAGAACACAGCATTATTATTTTAAGCTAATTCTTATGCTATAATTCAAAGCTAATAGAGAAAATATCTTTTTTCTTCTGTAGTCTAAGGAATTTTATACAACTTTTCGAAATGAAAGTTACCAATTGCTATTATAAAAAGCAGAGTAAAATAATAGGTTAGGTAATTTCACATTGTTACTTCTCCATAGCAAAGTCCTTGAAAGCAACTCCTACAGAAATAAGAAGTCTCACCTCTTCTTCCTGCGTCTAAGTCTCCTTTATTTCAAATTACATTACTAATTAACTTTAATTGCAATACTACTTCCACAGGAAGAAAAGACATCAACAATTGCAGAAGAGAGATAAAGTATGTTTAAATTTATTTAGTTAACTATTTCCTGCTTTTTATATGCTCAAGTCAGGCCAGAAGAGCAGGAGGAAGAGGATTAAAAGACAGGAAGCCAGACAGAGGAACAGTCAGCCACATTGACCCAGGTGGGGGGGATACGAGAGGTCTCCAACAGCAGGACAAACTTGTCTGTCGGTTTGTCCTACTGTGGTGACATGTAGACGTGAGTTTTGAG